TCCAGGCACGGACCACCTTTTCCAGCTTCCTTCCCAAGTAGATACACCAGACCCTGTGACAAGCTCTCCCCATCAGTTTGACGTGCAAGCAATGAGTGTCCCTTTGAGGCCAAGGAAGTTAAGAGGCAGGTGTTCCTTTTCCATTCTCTTTCCCCTTTCTCTAGAATGGAGAGGAGTCCACAGGCCCAGGGAATGGTAGTACCCCAGTCAGAAGCAACCAGGGTGTCCAAATCACCCATGTAGGGGAGCAGCCCCCTGGAATGCCCACCCAGGGCAGGCGCAGGAGGCGAGTTTGTATTGTGTTAAGCCACTGAAAGCCTGGGGTTCGTTATAGCTGCAAGTGTTTCCCTAACCAACCCCTGACCTTCCAGAAAGGCAAGCAGTCAGTGAAGCTCTTCTACCTGGAGTTGGGGGGAGATCAACGGGAGGTAATGCTGACCCCTGTCTGGGGAGCAGCTGGTCCTACACTTGGCTGGTGAGCAGGCATTCTGAAAGCTCTACGAGTGCTCCCTAGCAGCTCCAGCTAGTGTTGTGTCCCTTCTCCCAGGGCCTTACCCTGGGACCCCACCGCACTGCGCTGGCTCCCCCAGGACACACCCGGGCCACCCCCACAAGGGGTCCTGACTTCTCACCAGCTATAAGCATGTGCATCCTGCACAGTAAAATGCCCAGCCCCGTGAGAATCTCTGTTCTGGGGCCAGGTGCAGAGGCTGGCTGATGAGGGGTGCCACTTCTCTCCGTCCCACCCAAAGGAGGGCAGCCTTTTCTCTGTTTGGGGGCATCGGTGGGCTTCCTCTGTCTGAACAGTGGGGACAGGTGAGGAGGAATGGAATAGGCTGTCCCCAGGACCCTGAAGGGAACCCAAAAGCCACCCCACAGCACAGCCAAAGGACCCCCAGCCCTGCAACTGATCTATCTGCCACCATTTCCATCTGTACTGAAGACAGCTTCTTGGTATGCCAGCTGGGATTTACTTGAAAGCAATCCAGCAAGGGCCATGGATGAAACAAGCTGGGCCAACGTTGACATCTGTTGGGGATGGATGGTGGCACAGGGTGGGTTCATTATCCCAGTCTCTCTACTTCTGGGCATATTTGAAATTTTCAGTATAAAACCATTTTTTAAAAAGGAAATTTCTAGATATATTGTAGAGGAGGAGGTCCCAGTGAATTTATCCCTGTCCAATATCTTCTCAGGATGTCATGCTTAAAGGAAGACAACAGACAGATTTGTGGATTTTTTTTTCTATTTCCATTAATATTTAGTACATGTCATTATCTCCAAGTCTACTCACTTAAAGAAGAGATCTTAAATAATTGATTACTACAAAAGAAGAAAAAGGCCACACCGTCTTGTCCATTAACCATCAAAACCGGGAAAACCTCTTCCTCTAGCTCTAACACGGACACATAAATATATTAATGCATACACTGAGAAGAACACGCGCGCCAATCAATACACACAAATGTGCTTGGGGTACTTTTCAGGTGGGAAAAAAAACCCATCATCCTCTCTCCACCTCCCACGTGGCCTGTGCCTCCCAGCACAATGCCCCGGCAACAAGAGAGAGCGGCCAGTTTCCGGCTTCACTCTGCTGTTCAAATAAACACTCTCCTCAGGCCCTCAGAGTTTCACAGCCTCCAAATCATACAAAAAGCTCACACTTCTTCAACTCTGGTAAAACATGTACTGTTTGTGTGATCACATGGAGGCATGTGTGTATGCACAGGCATGTTTATACATCTAAAGAAAACACCTGCATCTCTACTGATTAAAATGCCTCTGTTCCTGGCATGCCCTCCTAGGAGGGCACCCAGACAGAACAAAGAGGGTAGCCTGTGAGCATCTGACCCCCGAGGGGCACGCTCAGGCGCAAGCAAGCTGCAGAGCGGCTAGCACTTAGGCACCCATCTGCATTGCGAGGGTGTTTTTATAAAGAACTGCTTCCCACTTTCTGCAAAACAGCCAGAGTTCTCTTTGCCGCTGCCTTACAGCGCTCACCCCTCCGCAGGCAGAGCCCTGACCCACAGCCACTGCAGGTATGACTTACCACGAGGGAGAGGGGCCGCTTCCAGGAGACAACGCCGATGAGTCCTGACAGCAGCACCTGGAAGGACAAGCGGAGCAGGAAGGTCAGAGGTTTGGGACACTTTGCAAGCACGACCAGAACAGCGACCGCTCTTCACCCTGAAGAAGCACTGCTTCTGGAACGCAGCACACAGACATGAGCAGGTCACAATGAGGTGCACTTTTCATGCACATGTTCATGGCCTGCAGCCATCTGAAAGGCCACCTGGCCCTCCTGAGAGGTTCCTTCTGCCTTGCTCAGGAAGGCCCCCCGGAAAAGGAATGTGTTTTCTGAAGGGTCCTCCACCAGCTGCCTCCTCTGCCCCGAGTGGCCTGGCTGGGTGATTTTAAAAATCACAGAGGGTTGAAAACACTCCTTCTGAGAAAGATGGGGCTCTCCCATGTCACCCCACTGTCTGCCTCCTCTGCTAGGGCTCTGAGCAGACTCCCTCTGCCCTTCCTCCCCACACTCAGTCCAGCACATTGCCTCTGAGTGCCACTCCTTGCCCAGGCCAGCCCTGGCGCACTGTGGTCCAGCATGTCACACATACTCTTTCTTCAGTGCACATACATCTTACAAACACAGTCCCTATGGACAAATATTAGATACAGTCATTTTCCCATGTCCCAAATCTCCTCCTTCCGTGACACCGCCCAGCCTCCCTTCTCCTTGCATCCCAGCCCCGACCCTGATAGAAAGCTTTGACTACCGTCCTCCCAAGCCTCTTTGAGGTCAGGTCTCACGCATCCTTCCTCACAATTCCTCTAAAACCTCTCTCTTTCCTTCTGCACCCAATGTTCCATCTCTCAAAACACCCTCCTGGCACCAGATTCTTTCTCCTCAACAGATATACAACCTCCCCCAAGTCGTTTCAGCATCAGTCTGAATTGTCACCGCTCATAAGGATATGCTGCCAGAACTCTTCCCAACTCGTCATGCGCGGCATTTTAAACCCTGGACTCCAGACCTCCCTTTGCTGCGTTCAGAATGTCCACGAATAGTACCCTTGCTTTCTGGGCTCCAGGGACAGGTCAGTGGGCTCAGGAATGCCACAGTTGGGTCAGTTCTTCCTCACATCTCCATTCATTCCTTCCTTGCCCACACTCTCCTGTTCCACTGCCCAGATGATGGCATTCACCCCTGCCCCCCACTGAAGCCGTCGTCAACACCCCCACTAGATGAACCCTACCTCCCTCTCCTGGCTATACAGACCCACGAAAACCAAGTCCCTGATTGCCCACCAGCACTCCCCTAAGCAATGCCTACGTGTATGGCATTTTGTGGTGGCAGCCCAAGCTGACTAGGATACCAGCATGTCCACAGTGGGATACTGGATCCTTGTTCCCAAATATCCAGTCTCTCCCAGTGTCCCCCCGGAAGGAGGAGACTTCCCTGCCCCTCTGATATAGAAGTCCTGTCACCAGCTCAAAGGAGGGAGGCCCCAAAAGAATAACTTGGGGGAGGCTTTTCAAAGCCTAGATGCCAAGGGCCTCCTCCCTGCAGACACCTGGTCCAGTCTACTGGGCGACCCAGGGGAGCAGAGCACATCCCTGCTCCAAAACAGCCGGGTCTTGGTTTGAACGGCCTTTGCTCAGTTCCAGCTACCAGTGAGGATTATGCTGCATGCTCTGCCAGCTCAGTGATTCTGCAGGTTTATTTCTCACTACTCCTGTGAGAAACAGGGTCATGAATCTAGTTAGCCGTGAAATTACCACATCTCATGAAACCTCTGTCCCATTTAATTTGCCAGTATTGTTATTCAAAGTCCACAGTTTACACAGAATGTGAAGACTTTGAAGAGGGTCAGAGAAGAGTGATATATAATTAAGTAGCTGTGAAAGGAAAGCCCAAATGAACGTGAAAGGCATGACATTGCTCAGAGAGAAGGCTTAACTTTTCAACCAGTGAATTGTTCCAAGGACGCCAACTCAATCTTTCCTCCACTTCCCACACAGCCTAAATAAGGCGAGATGAAATCGGAAATGAGAAAGAACTTCCTGCCGGTGGGGGCAATGTAAGGGGATAACAGACAACCAGGAAAACAGCATCATTAGAACCAAAGATCTTCCAGGTGATTGGTGCCACTGCCCCAGAGGCCTGGAATAAATCAGTTCTTCAAACTTTATCCTCTAAAATTAAAAAGTCCTTTCCCTTCCTAAAATCAAGAATTTTCCTCAGATCTTCATTTTGGGTTCAGAGGCAAATGGTAATGTGACTTTTTAGATAGTGAAGCAAATCCCTCTAGAATGTAAACTTGAAAGCCGATTAATCATGTTATTTCACAAAACTTATGGCAGGCGCACCCAAAAGCTACAGTGGTATCAACTTAGCACTAAGAAGCCAGGATTCACAATATGTCTAGAGAAAGAACTGTTGCAAAATTGGAGCAAAAAACAGTCTAAGCTGCACAGAATGAAATAAATCTATCAACCCCATCTTTCAAAAGCCTTTCAGACCGCAGACCTGCACCACCCCAAATTCCTCCAGCTTCATGGAGTAACATTCCTACTTTATCCTACTTCCATTTTCTTTTCTTTCCACGTTTGTCTTGGTTTCCCTGCGGCTGCATGGCAGGACTCAGTATGCAGACCCTCTGCCTCCTGTGCCCATCTCAGCTCCCTCTGGGAAACATACATATGTTCGCACCTCCTCCTACCCGCGGCTTCTGTTCCTTCTCTCAAAACAATTCCCAGTTCACCATTCCGTCTCCCAACCATTCACATCCACCTGTGGTTCCAACTCTTCCTTCTCACCATTTCCCACTGGAGGCTGCATCCATGCATCAAACTCAGATGTCCACGAGGAAAGTCACTTTCCTTCTAAACCCAGTTCCTCCATGATAAAAGAGAACTCCACAGCTTTCATTTTCATATCATACAGTAGCAAAATGATACACGGACAAGAAAAATGGCCCCATGAAAGAAAAAAAAGCCCTCAAGTAACTTGTTTACAAATATCCTAAATAACTCACAAGTCAAAAGAAAATCAAAATTGCTGACAGCACAGTCTGTTCTACTATAGGGCATGTTTCTCTGGTGCAAATTACCTCGTACATGGTTGGTACCAAACTCATTTGTCCTGGCTCTGCCTGTGAGATGCAGCCTTCCACCAGGGCTGTTTACTCTGGAATCAGGGCGCTTACTAGACCAGCCACTGGATTTAGTTATTTAATGAGTTAATAAAACAGTACATATATTGTTATTATATGCTACAATATCATTTTTAAACATTTTTTATTTTTAAATATTTCAAAGTTATTGGTTTCCTTTGTAATCCTATCTTCTTTCATGCATTTAAAAATGTTATTCTGAGAAGGGCTCCACAGGCTTCACTAGACTGCCATGCCAAGAGTTATAAACTCTTGATTTAGGAGGCATGCAGATCTTTCAGTAGTAAACTCCTGAAATTTTTATCTGTAAATGTCTTACTTCACCTTCATGCGTGAGAAGTAGTTTTTGCTGAATACACAGGTCTAGGTTGACAGATTCTTCCCTCAACAGTTTGATGATATTATTCCACTGTGTTCTAGGTTCCACTGTTGCCATAAAGAAGTCTGCCGTCCTTTTAACCATGTTTCTTGAGGGGTGACACAGTCCTTACTCTTTAAAGGCTCTTAAGATTGTCTCCTTTCCTTTAGCATTCTGAGGCTTTTGCATGATTATGTCTAGTTATGGATTTCTTTTTATTTATCCTCTTTGTGATGTACTATGCTTCTGAATCTGTGATTGGTATTCTTTGCGAGTTGTGGAAATTCTGAAACCAATACCTCTTCAAATGTCTCCCCTACATTCTTCCAGGGCCTCCAATAGCCACAGGCTTCGTATTCCATTCTCCAAATCCTCTTTCACATATTCCACACCCATGTCATTCAATATTTCATTCTGAATAATTTCTTTAGGTATATCTTCCAGATGACTTGTTTGCCCTACTCTATTTTTAATCAGCTCTTGACCATTTTCATTTGTTTAGAAAATTTAATGGTTATATTTTATATGCTTAGAAGTTCTCCTTTTATGCTTCCCCCAATACGACTATTTGTTTCAGATAGTTTCTTGTTACATGCTCATTTTTATGATTCTGTCCATAATTACTGAAAATATTACACATGGAGATGTTCCAAGAAATGTATCCAGGTCTGCCATTTGCTGTTTCCATTGACTCTCACTTATTGCAACTCGCCTTCTTTGATGCTTGCTTGCACAGAAGTCTTTTGTTGTGAACACACTGTCTAATCTTTTTTTTTTATTAAGGTACCATTGATATACACTCTTATGAAGGTTTCACAAGAAAAAGAATGTGGTTATTACATTCACCCTTATTATCAAGTCCCCCCCCCCATACACTGCTTAATCTTAATCAGGTTCTATGGACACAAAATGGAGAAGTTTTCCCCAAGAGATGTGTACCTCTGCCAGTAACCAGGGAGCACCTAGGATTTGGAAACAGCATGATCTCCAAGGCCCTCAGCTCATGGCCCAGTGTGGAAACCTCAGGCTGAGTCCCCCTGACTCCACCTCACCATGCAGTTGAAAATTCATGCTCAGGGCAACTGCCTGTTCCAGCCATGTTCTACCCAGACCCTGTTCCCTGGCACTCACACCTCAGCCACCTGCTGCTCTGGGCTTGGTTCACTGCGTGTGTGTGTGTTTGTGGGTGGGGTAGTGGGCCTTGGAGACTTGCAATGCCTCAAAGAGCATGTCGTTTGTCCAAGATCATGGCACCGACATATTCAGTGTCTGCTGAGGGTCAAGTTCTTGATTCACAGTCATCTTCCCGCCAGATCCTCATATGGAGAAGAGAGTGAAGGAACTCTCTGGGGTCTTTCTCCTGAGGGTACTAATCCCATTCATGAGGGTTCTAATCACCTCCCAAAGACCCCCACTTCCCAATACCTTCACACTGGAGATTAGGATTTCACATGGGGATTTTAGGGGGATGCAAACATTAAGTCTATAGTAAGCAGGATATTACAGATGATTTTCTAGGAGGAAAACACAAATTACTACAAGTGATTCTCCCTCTCCCCCCAGAAAACGAAT